TGATCCATTAAACCCTCTTTTCTGTAGTACTGCTGGTTAGACAGTTTTTGCATTTGATTTTTCCTTCATAAATGCAGTACTTTACACTTGTCTATGCTGAATTTCATCTTATTGATTTCAGACCAATTCTCCAATTTTCCAAGAACATTGTGGAAGACAGGGTTAGAATTCAAAGTGCTTTCAACACCTAGCTTGGTATTATCTGCATGTTTTAGAAGTATATTCTCCTCCATTATCAAAGTCATTAATGAAAATATTGACTAGTACAGGACCCAGGACAGATCCCTGCAGGATCCCACTTTATACATCCTCCAAGTCTCACAGTCAACCATTTATTGATAACTACTGAGTACAGTGACACTACTCAAAGTTGATGACATCAGCATAGCTTTGGCAGCTGAGCCCAGGATGTGTAATCTTTGCCAGAGGTCTCACGCAAATATTAAGAGAAGCAAGGATAGTATAGATCCGTATTGGATCTTGCAGGTGAGGGCTTCCAGAGGGGAGGATTACCTCATCACTAGTCTCCAAGTTCTGCTAGAGAAGTACAAGTGGAGCCACTGTAGTGCTGGGCCATCTATTCCTGATACGGCATGTAAGTGGGTTAGCAGTAACTTGTGGTCCATTGTGGTAAAGGCTTTAGAGAGGTCCAGCAATGCAAGCACGGAGCTCTGATTGTACTGAATTGCATCTCTGAAGTATAGCGCTAGTTACTGGTGGTGATGTGCCATCAGGTGATTGGCGTTATGGACTATATCTTCAAAGCCAAAGAAGGTACCTCCTACCATCTGATCTCCAATCTTTTAAATAGATACTCCAATACCTACACATTATAGATAGTGCAAGGAACAAGATGTCAATTTAAACAAGCATTTCAGAAACTGGTAGCTCCTAACACCGCTATAATACAACGTTTTCACAAACTGCACAGTGCAGCAACCTGTCCATACGGGAGGAGAAATTGACAGTCATTATGTTGGATCCCATAGCCTGTAACTGTGACATGTTCATCTGTAACAGTTTCAATAGTTAATTCACAGGACAAAATACCTCTGATTTACAAGGCACTGAGAAAGCGATATTATGTGGAGTATAAAGCAAGGGTGGATTTATTTTAAAAGTGATTGAAATTACCTTGATTTAATAGATTTCTCTCTTTTTAGTTACTTATTGAAATGAATTTCAATTGGTTAAAATGATTACCAACATCTCCTCAAAACTTGTTAAAGCAAAAACATGGCTTTGCTTAAAGTGTGCAGATTCTTTATTTTTACATTATGGTAAAACTAAGTGAATGTTATTCTTCAGATTTAATGGACATTATTATATTGCTTAACCACTTATGTAAGTAACAGCATTAAAGTTAAACAAAACCACACAACAGCATGTTCCAAAAATATTCTAGTAACTGAGTAGTGTCCTTTAAATTTGCCTATAGATTTCAATAATTATATAAATATAATAAATCGATGCCAAAAATGTACACCATATTTATAGACATAAAATATCTATCATTCTGAAGGATCACAGGGCACTTTATGAACTTTATGGCTGCCTACAAGTATCCTCATCCTTACATCCTATGGAATAACATGAGTCGCTCCGCAGCAATAATTAGCCAGGTGGGGTTCTGAATTCCCCCACCCTTTAAAAAAGTAAAATTCAACTTTATTTGAAACTGAAAAGGAATTTTAGGTAAGCAGCATATGATTAACTGCTGTCCAATTACATGGGTAACACCCTATTCTTGTACAGAGTTATATTCGTAAAAAAGAAGATGGTACTATGACACAGGTATCTACTAATCATGCCATTCATGATCAGTTTCAGAGGTGGAGCTGAATTGTTCTAAGAATGCAGGTTTGCTATACAACTTGTAAATAAACTTCAACCACTGAACAGGTGAGAATTCCAGACACATAGCTGCTGAAACTGTTTAAGCAGTAAATCTAATTTATCTAAAGCTGCATCTTCTAAAGATGCACACAATGTTTTCTTTCAATGAACTAATTCAAATAAATATGGAAAACTGAAATAGAGAAAGCAAGGAAAATATTTGTGTTCTAAGAAATGAGCAATTAATTAGCACCAGATTGCTGTGTGAACAACACAATTCTATCTAGAAAATCCAGCATGCCTAACAAATTAAATGATCTGTTCAGTTCTTTCAGTCATTAGGCTGCAAATCTGATTAAAAAAAATTCTACAGTCTTTGCAAATGCAACTTATGTACTTTTTCATTTCTAACCTTCTGAATAGTTAAGCCATCTAGTCCATTTCTCTGCCAATGTATGGTTAGTCAATGTACTATATTATCTAGTGATTTTTCCAGTCTGGTATGAATTCCAGCACTTCTGTATAAAAAGTATTCCACAGTTATTTCATTTCGTTATTTGGAAGTCTCCTGATATTAAGTATAATTGCTTTCAAATCCCGCTTTTCTATCAAATATTAGACACATTCAAATTTATGATACACACACACACACATACACACACACACACTAGTAGCCACAATATTAAATGTATCCTAAATTAATATTTCTATGAAAATAGATTGGGTGAGTGGTAGCTTCTATGAAGTAAACTCACTGACTGGACCTTCCTTCGCTTTCGTTTCAGTGGGAAAAACATGTCACTCTGAGCATTTTTTAGGAAACATTCCATATGTACTTAGCGTATTGGTAAATGGAGAATTTATTTTAAGTAAGATGTTTTTATTTATAAGTTACAAGAATTATAGGTTATGGTAGATATGAACCCTCAAGAATCTACATTCCTATTAACCATTTTCACCTTCCTGCACACAGTCCCTTTCACCATCACTACACCTAACGAAAAGAAAGTTTTCTTTCCCCCTTCTCACCTTATTCTAACTCAAAACTCATCAAAAATGAAGCAAATTTATCTAGCAGGAATCCTGAAAACAAGCTAATAAGATTAATAATGCAAGATAGGATTGGTACATTCAAGTTGTACCTTGTTTTTGTTACTCCTCCCTACTTAATGAATTTGTTTCAATTAGAATAAAGAGCAGATGAATGGCAAGTAAACCTCCCTTCTTGGCTAAGAAAAAGGGAGAGGAGCACTTTGAGTGGGAAGTATGTATCCTCCATACCTCACAGATCTCCCCTGCCTATGAAGTAATCAAAAACAAAGTAGTTTAAAACAAAGCTATGTATACCACCAGTATTTTAAATTTTGAAACTCCAAAAAGAAAGTTCAAGTTGAGTGCTCTTCCATTGATTACAAAGGAAAACAGATGTCTCCATTAGTTAGTCTTCACATGGAAGAAATTCATTTTCAGACATAGCTAGTTTTTTTTAAATGTGCAAAAGCCAAATTAAGTGTTTAATACAAGATGGCATAATTCTTACATTTTGAAAAATGTCATTAATTTTCCCTCAGTTTCATCCTATCACTGCTAGCTAGTCCCAAGCTATACCATGGCAAGTTTCTCTTTCATTTTTGCTTCTGATTATTATAGTTATGGGTTGTTAAAAATTAATAAACTTGAAGCTTCTATTGTCTCATTTTCACCTTTATCTTTCTAACTGGAAAGTAACCAGATACTTTACTTGGATGTCAAAAGGACTATTCAGTCCAGCTATCCAGTTTATAGTTTATTTCAGGTTTTGTAATATAGGTTGTAAGATTCCAGAAGCCTGGGGAAAAGCAGAGAACATCCGGTGCAGTCTCAGACATTTTAGTTTAAAACTATTTTTGTCAAGTCACTGCACTGAAATTAAAGCATTGGCATAGAAACTGCTGAATTACACTGCTTAATAGGGAAAGTGGAAATAACCAGAAAAAATGATCTAGTAGCCACCTTCCTTGTCCTGCATCTTCCAATAAATTAACTTCATTATCATGGAATTTCTTAAAATAAACATTCTACACACATAAGGAGCAAGGTACATGATCAACTCAGGGTACACAATGGATTATTTCACAGAGTAATAGGACTTCAGCATCCCACTAATTTTAAAAATGTGATTCTGCTCTGCAAAAGTCAAGCTATGTTTTCTGGATCAAACACCATCATTAGTAGCAAAAGATGTATACAAGCCAAATGCTGCCTTTGGCAAGCCTATTGCTTTTATTAAGGAATTCACAGCTGCAACTAAGGGCTACGTAGGTGGCCCTACAAACAGAACTTAGCCAGTCATTCTACTGATGCATGAGGTAGAACAGAGCTCACTTTAGCTGTGTTGGTTCTACAAGAGAAATCAGAGTAAAAAAACCTAACCAACAACTAATTTCCAACACTAAAATGAGCAAATATGACCGAATAAAAAGCAAGGTACAGATATATTTTTTAAACAATGCCATTTTCACATACATTTTTCAGAGCAAAACTTGACTATGTCTCCAGTTCTGCAATTGGATCTGCATGGGCTACCTCTTGGATTCTACATTAATGCAGAAGTGCACATCCAACCAAGCCCAGAATTAGGACCCAAATATGTACACTGATGTATAAACAGTGGGAAACACCTTGATAATTAATTCACTTCTTCCCCATTTTAAAAAATCCTATCTTATTTGCACTCTTAGGACTGGTTTCAGAGTAGCAGCCGTGTTAGTCTGTAGCCGTGTTAGTCTGTGGCACCTTAGAGACTAACAAATTTATTTGAGCATAAGCTTTCGTGGGCTACATTCTTTCGATGCATCCGAAGAAGTGGATTGTAGCCCACGAAAGCTTATGCTCAAATAAATGTGTTAGTCTCTAAGGTGCCACAAGTACTCCTGTTCTTTTTACTCTTAGGACTGTCACACAGAGAAAAAAAAATGTTTGCACTTCTTCAGAAACTCCACCAGGGTCAAATGGGCTATGGGAGGCCCTACCAAAAGGGCGTGGGGGTAAAATAGGCTTTGTTGGGGCTGCGAAGGGGGTATGGTCCTTTAATTAGAGGGAAGCGAGAGGAGTTGGGTGTGATGGTAAAGGGGGTGGTCGAGGGGGGAAAGGGGCTGGTTATTATATGAAACAAAGCTGCTCACCTGGTTAATGACCTGAAAAGAAAACAGAAAAAAAGAGAGTAAGTTGTCACACCAGCCCAGTTACAGCCACCAAAGTCCCCTCTGTGCCCTATAATCATCCCCTCCCCATAGCTCCAGCCCCCCACCCAGTCATTGTCTCCTCCCTCCCCCATCACCCCCCGCCTGTCACCTGACCCCGTAGCCCCTTCCCCCTATTGTCTCCGAGTCGTCCCCCCAGCCACTCCCCCAATAATCCCCCAGCCCCGTCCCCTTCTCCCTATACTCCCCCTACCCCCAGTCGCTCCCTTCGCCCCGCCTCAAGCACTCACGTCGGGATTGGCCTCCAGGGGCAGCCAGCGGTGCGGCTCCATGCTGCGGGCTCTGGGCGCTTCCTTCCGCGGAGCTGCAGGACCCGGCACTGACAGCGCCTCACGCCGCTGCCACTCCGCTCCGCCCCGCCCCGGGACCGCACCACAGCGAGCGGGGAAGGAAACATCACCCTCCTCCCCCGGCTCCGGAGTGGGCGGCGCCGGCTCAGGGCCGCAGCCCGGCGAGAGGGGCGGACACGGCGCCGGCCAGGCCGAGGGAGAGGGCTTGTCGCCCGACCAATCCTCCAACTCCCCCCCGCATCTCTCGGAACATGGACTCTCCCGCCAAGGCAGGGGCGGGGCCGCGGCCGGAGTCTGCCCGCCCCCCCTGCCCCGCTGGCGGTGCGCGACGCCGGCTGGCGCGGACCGTGGCCGCTGGAGGGCTCTGTTCTATCCCGCCGCGGCAGCGGGCTCCCCTCGGCGGCTCGGCCAGGCCCAGCAGGGGGAGCGAAGCCGAGAGCCCAAGCCAGCGAGCGACGTTACTCGCGGGCAGGTGGCGCGGTGACCCCGCAAAGCACCCCCCCAACCCCAGCGCAGCCCGCAGCGGGGAGACAGACAGGCAACGCCTCACAGCCTCTTCCCCCCACCCCATACGTACACAGACCCAGAGACTGACACCCCCCTCAGTCACCCCAGAGACTGATACCCTGACACCTCCAGAACTACATACGTTCAGCCACACACAGACCCCAGAGACTGACACCCCCAAAACCATCCTAGAGACTGACACGCCCAAAAACCGACTTACATTCAGATACACAGACACCAGTGCTTGACACCCTCACCACAACCACACACGTTCCTACACACACAGACCTTGACTGACACCCACAAAGAACCACCCCAGTGACTGACATCCTCCATACAAGCACGCCAGAGACTGACCTACACAGAACCACACATATCCATACACATAGACCGGGGTAGGCAACCTATGGCACGCATGTCAAAGGCAGCATGCGAGCTGATTTTCAGTGGCACTCACACTGCCCGGGTCCTGGCCACTGGTCCGAGGGGCTCTGCATTTTAATTTAATTTTAAATGAACCTTCTTAAACATTTTAAAAACCTTATTTACATACAACAATAGTTTAGTTATATATTATAGACTTATAGAAAGAGACCTTCTAAAAACGTTAAAATGTATTACTGGCACGCGAAACCTTAAATTAGAGTGAATAAATTAAGACTCGGCACACCACTTCTGAAAGGTTGCCGACCCCTGACATAGATCCCAGTGACTGACACCCCCACACAAACCCAATGACTGATGCCCTGACAGAACCACACATATATACACACACAGATCCCTTTCTTATTTGAACACTCCCTTTCTCTCCCTGATCTTCTACCAGAGTGTTCACCCCAAAAACCTAAAACTAAGTGTTTGTACCAGAAATAAAACAAATATTTACGTATTAAAAATAAACACATAGAACAAAGCATAACATGAATCTGTCATAGATCTCTGCTTACATGTTGTACACCTTTCCGTTTTTGTTTTTTGGTCATTTTACACCTCGATCTTTCCAAGATTTACACACATGCTTAATTTTATTCACTGAATTAATCCCATTGACTTTGAATTCAAAGGTGATATCTGGTACGCAAAGATAGTGGGATCAAATGAAGTGGATGGCTAGGGCAGGAAGCTAGGCAGAGAGCTTCTTCCCAGTCTTGTTAGTCTTGTAAGAGGGAAATAAACAGAAAGAATCAAGACAAGGACACATCTTCACTCGCTTCCCCTGTTCGTTTGGCAACAGGAAGCATCAGCAAAAACTCACATCCCAGTCTGTCTCTACCAAAGAGAGCAGAGCATCTACTTGGGGGTCTTTCTGATTTAAGAACAAGTGATTTCATCCTTCTCACTCAGCAAGAGTGGATAACAAACTTCAGAGGACACAGGACTCCTAGCCACAGTCAGAATAAAGAGTTCTGAACTAAAAATGGGGAAAGTGACAATTCATCAGCAATCTGAGCCAATGACCAAATGGTTTTAAAATGAATTAGAGAACCTTCCTGAATTGCACAATGCAGGTGTTTTGATAACCATGAGATTATGGAGGTGTGTAATCTCCACCTTCCTATAACATAAACACAAATAATTATATAATTGGGAAGGGAGATGGCAAGACCGAACAGGAATCTGACCCATATATGTATAGTGCTTCTTATTAATAACAATAAACAAGTACATAATGTTGCACAATAATTGCAAACCTAGGACTGGGGTTGCAAAATATGATATCTAGTTTGACTAAACCGGGCTTTAGTTAAATATGATGCAAAACTGTGGGATGCAGATTAACCAGCACTGCCAGCCTTTTACAGTTTTACCAATCAGTTCATTTTCAATATGAACAAATCATCTCAAATTCATTATTTTGAGATCATGGTAATATGGTAATATTAAAAGCACATTGCGAATGGAACACCTATAAAACCTGCATCACGAGGAATATCTGTCAGATTATTCCATATATATTAGACATATAGTTTCGAGGAGATAACCAGGGTTCTGACCTATCTTGGTTTTGGGAATACTGTACTGAATTGGGTAAATCTTCCGCATATCCTGTAGGCCAGGCGTGACATATTTTTAAGGGTCCCAAATTCGGTTTGACACTGATGCAGCTTCGTGACACCAACATGCCTCCCGGTGCATCAAACGGCGCTGTGATTTGACTGTGCCACAGCATCGCGTTGCACGTGTAGTGCAGGACCAGAACACCATGCTGCCACACCACGCAAGATGAAGAAATTATTCTGCTGCAGGACGGAGCTCGGCGACAGCCCCTCTACATGTAGCATATATCTTGTAAGTAGTAAGTCCCTCTCGGAGCCCTTTTGATTTAGTGACTGTACTGACAGAACTCTGGAGTCTCATACAACAGGTTTAAACGTGTGTGGGAAGAAATGCCCTTTCACCCCGGGACGCCGCCAGAAACGGAAGACTTCACAGATCAAGGGTGAAGGACACAGGGTGGGAGCCCGCGAGGAGGCCCAGGCCAGGCGCCCCGCGAGACAGGCTGAGCTAGACACACACGAGCAGCCGCCAGACAAGCGCCTTGGGGTCTTAGCTCCGCGCGATCGCCTCCTCCGGAGGCGCGTGGTTGGTGCCGACCCCACCCCCTTGCGCTTGATTTTAACGCCATAACGAGCAACCAATGAGAGCTCGGGAGCGGGGCGGACCACGGGCCCAGCAGCCGGTAAGCGCGAAGTGTGGCGGAAGGTGACTGATGATTGGACAGCGGAGGTGCGCAGGGGGGTCTGTAGGTGCTAACCAATGAGGGTGGCCGCTCGCGGGTGTTGTTAGCGGAAGCAGTCTGGCGGGGTCCCCGGGTGGCTGGCGGAAGGATGGCTGCCAGAGCTGCCGTGGTGGGTGCGCGGTCCCTGGAGCCCCTTGGTGAGAGGGGTGTGAGGGCTGGTGGGGCACGGGGATGGGTGGAGGTGGAGGTGGAGGTGGGGGCTGGGAAGAGATTGATGGGATGCGTGTGGGGAGGGAGGAGTTGGTGGGGCAAAAGGGAAGGGGAGCACAGGGCAGTGGGGTGCTATATGGGGCAACGGGGAGGGAGTTAGGGTGGTATATGGAGGGGGAGTTGGGTGGGGCACAAGGTGGAGATGGGGCTGGAGTTTTGTGTGCACACACACACGAGACTATCTCTGAGCTTGACATGGGGCTATCACTTCTTTGAAGAAACCGAATAATTCTGGATTCAGATTTTTAACGGTGAGTGTAATTAACCATTAGAACAACTTATCTAGCAAGGTGGTAGATTTTCAGTCTTTCAATGAGGACTGACCTTTTTTTAAAAAAAGTGCTGTAGCTCAAATACAAGGTATTGACTCAATGTAGACATACCAGATAATGTTCTGAGAGTTATGTAGGAAGTCAGTCTAGAGATCATAATGGTTCTTTCTGGCCTTAAAACCTATGTTTCTGTGGATTCACTTATTATTAAATTCTGCCTTTAATGCTGTCACTAGGTATTTTTGATTAGGGTTAGTTTTTGTTCATGAAGCAGAAATCTGGCGATAAACTCCTGTATCTTGACCGGTTTCAGAGTAGCAGCTGTGTTAGTTACGCAAAAAGAACAGGAGTACTTGTGGCACCTTAGAGACTAACAAATTTATTTGAGCATAAGCTTTCGGGGCTACAGCCCATTTCATTGGATGCATGTAGTGGAAAATACAATAGGAAGATATATATATACAAAGAGAACATGAAACAATGGGTGTTACCATACACACTATAAGGAGAGTGAACAGTTAAGGTGAGCTATTATCAGCAGGAGAGAAAAAGAACTGTTTGTAGTGGTAATGAAAATGGCCCATTTCCAGCAATTGACAAGGAGATATGAGGAACTGTAAGGGTGGGGGGGAAATAGTTTTACTTTGTGTAATGGCCCATCCACTCCCAGTCTTTATTCAAGCCTAATTTAATGGTGTCCAATTTGCAAATTAATTCCAATTCAGCAGTCTCTTGTCGGAGTCTGTTTTTGAAGTTTTTTTGTTGTAATAGTGCGACTTTCAGGTCTGTAATTGAGTGGCAAGGGAGATTGAAGTGTTCTTCAACTGGTTTTTGAATGTTATAATTCTTGATGTCTGATTTGTGTCCATTTATTCTTTTACATAGAGACTGTCCGATTTGGCCAATGTACACGGCAGAGGGGCATTGCTGGCACATGATGGCATATATCACATTGGTAGATGTGCAGGTGAACGAACCTCTGATAATGTGGCTGATGTGATTAGGTCCTATGATGGTATCTTGACCGAAGATCTTGTTTAAAATGCAAACACTGTCAGTGCAGAGGGGCTGACCTGAGATTCTTCCCATGAGCTGAGAGGATTTTTTTTTTTTATTTAAGGGCTCACAGCTAATTAATAATGTTTATATTTTTTAGATTTTGGCAGTACTGCTGATATTATTAAACTAATACCTAAGGATCTATTTGCTGAGCTAGTAAGTAATATTTCTATATTTAGTCCTTATGCTTTTGTGTAGTGTAAAATGTTTGAAGTGATGGTTATGTTACTAGCTGTTTGAGTGCCAATTTCCCTGATAGGGTAATAGTAATGTCCCCCACCTTTACGTAAGTGGACCACATCCTCTAGTGATTAGTGAGACTGAATCAATTTTGTATTTTTACAAAATACTGATTTTGCTTTTGAGGAACACCAGAACAGCTAGCCTGGCAAACAATCCCTTTCATGTTTTCTATGAAATCATGAAAAATGCACCCTTAGTGCTGGATTGTATCACTTAGTCGCAGCTCCGTGTTGTAAGCAGTGCAAAGCAGGTAGCCTAGTGGTTTAAAAATTTTGAACATGTATTTTCACTCTTGTGAGTTTGATGGTATTTAAATATAGTTTTAGCAGCCGCCACTGACTTAATACATCCTTTTCCTCTTCACTCAATATATATGTAAAGTGGTGTAGCAGACTATTTGTATATTGCCACAATAGGCTTGTTTGCTTGGCCACTCTGTATTGAAACCACATGACTCCAGGTGTACACCCTCTGTACAGATATTTTTAAAGCATGATATTTTAATAATTTTACTAGTGATTGGCTGTTCATGTAACTTTTTTTTTTTTTTTGTAGTGTGAGCGAATTATTCAGCATCTTCACTGTCAGATCCCAGGTGTAAATACAGTAGAACTATGCCAGGTAAGTTTTATGATTAGTGGTCATCCAAAAGCAAATCACTTGCATTCATTGTATATTACATGTCAGGTGAATTATAGAATGTTTATAAGACTTACATTTGTTTGTGTTCAACCATTCTGTTTCCAGAGATTTCAAACAGCTGGAGTTGAAATGAATGTTGCTGACCTGGCAAAGATAATTAATGTTGTTTCCTTTTTGTTTGGGTAAGCAAGAACCCATCCTCCCTACACGTCTTTTAATTTTATTCTTTCTTTATAGAATAAAAAAAAAGGGGGGGGATCATAAAAGGTGGAAGGGTATAAATTAAGGCTGAGGAGGAGCCAGAAAATTTTGACTTTGAGTACGTCAGGGGATGTAAAGGAGCTTGAAAACTTGTATTAACTCGTTTTTTTTTTTAATTAATTCATAAATCAGAAACAAAAAATCTTTTTTTCTACTTAGAATATTTATGCATATTAAAAATATATGGGGTATACATAAATGAGAGGAAATTGCTCCCTTGTGGGGACCTTGCATGCAAATTCTTAGCACAGTTTACTTTGGGGGAGATTAAGTAAAATCCTTTGCAAAAAGAGTGTGTAGGTTGCATTACACAATTACTACAATGTAAAATAATATTCATGAACAGAGAAAACTAATGGAAATGTTTGCCTATTTAAAAAAACAAACCTGGATTTCTTGAACATCCCTCTTACAAAAACCTACAGATTTTGTTTGTTTTAAATCTATCTACAGCACAGCGGCCAAAAACAACCTGTCTGCAGAAGAACTCTCCACTGGTCTGGGTAATGCACTCAGTATGCTGCCAAAACATGCCGTTCAGGTTATTCGCCATATATGGAATGAACAGGGTAAATCTATCATTATGTCAGAAGATGCTAGAAATATGGCAACAGTGGGACAGGTAACTAGCTCAGATTTCTGATTCAATAGCATTAACTTTCCAAAAATGTCTACTTCATGGTGGATGCTGATGCAAAAGTGGCAAATAATATATTTAATGGACTGTTGGATGCCTTCACATTGTGATATTAGACCTGGCTAATATTAGTTTCCCCTTAATACTTATAAATAGTTACAAATGCTTAAGAAACATATAGAGCTAGGTGGTTTAAATATTTTTCCAACAAGTTTAGAAGACTTCTATTAATACTGCATTTTCATTCTGACAACATAAATAGATTTCTACTTGAAGTTGTATATAGGTTTTAATTAAAATATATATGTTATACCTTGAAAGACGTGACTGGTATTAAACACACTTGGCACTTTTAATTACAAAAAAGTGTTGTCTTTGATATTCATACAATTAAAAGTGACAAAGTCTGTTCAAACTATGCTTCTCACAGTTGTTGGTGAGTTAAAACGGAGCTCTAATAGTTTAACTTCCATGAGTTTTAATAACATTTGTTATTACTTAGTGTATAGCACAATAAGAGTCTGTCATTCATGTACTTATGCAAAACATTCTGATATGAATTATTACGTTAATACTTATGCAGGATCTTTATATAAACTGCTAAGGTCATGTTATGGACTTTCATGCACAAAAATCAGAAAACAGTAATTCTGACTCCTTAATGCAGATTTTCTGCTGCCAGTGCAATTTTTCATGGCAGGAGGATTTTACCCACCCATCTTTAACTGATAAAGAAAATCAAGGTAACATCATGCCTAAGTCCCTGATGAGAGACACAAGACCCTGTACTAATGCCTATATGAAACCTTTTTGCTATGGCTGCATTCTTTGTAATCTTCATGGCTTCATCAAGAATTTAGGAGGTAGTCTAGAGTTAGCTAAGAATACTTCTTTCAGAAACATATGCTGTGCGTGATGGGGGAGCCGTTGTGCACCAACAGCCACACAGATCTTGGCAGAAGAGGCACCTGTGTCTGGTGGCAAAGAAGTCTAAGACAACTGGGGGTTTCTCCTTTGTTGCAGCCATTGAGAAGTGATCCTGCTTCATCTGCCTGCTCTGCCATTGAGGTCTTATACTGGGTTGTGTTGAGTTGGGCTGCATTTTGTCTGGTACCTTGCCTTCGACCTTACTGCAATGAGTGACCCTACCAGGAGTACAGGACTCCCAACGCCATCACTCTTAGGGTCTTAAGTATATGCAAGCTTCTCCACCATGTCAAGGTGGCAGCCCAAGGAGAAGATTTATTTACAAAAACATTGTACTTGTATTTTGGTGTATAGTATATAGAGCAGTATAAACAAGACATTGTATGAAATCTTAGTTTATACTGACTTGCTAGTGCTTTTTATATAGTCTGTTGTAAAACTAGGTAAATATTTAAATGAGTTGATGTACTCCCTGGAAGACCTCTGTGTACCCTGAGTATAGTATAGTGACAGTAGGATTGATTGGAAGTGTTTAAAAACAGTTTGATTGCTCTTTCTTTTCTGCAGATTATAGATATTCAGTGGAAACTGGGAATGGCAGTGAGCTCTGACAGCTGTAGGTCTCTTAAGTACCCTTATGTTACAATGATGCTAAAAGTGGCAGAGCCTTCGGGCCAGATAATGAGCAAGTCTTTTGAAATGACAATCCCACAGTTCCAGGTTTGTAATCCAGTTTCATACTTCTCAAAAAGAATTGCATACAACTCTGCTTTCTAAATAGAAATGCAAATGTTTACATGTAGGACAGCACATTTCTGTGACATTTAATTACATATGTGGTAATGGAAAGATAAGATGTCTACATATGGTTCAGATTAAAAATCTGTTTGCTTAAGCAACTGAAGCCAAACATTGTTAATTTAATAAGAACTCTCACTTGAGAATTCCAAGTTTAAAATTGCTTTGCCCTTATCAAAACCATCCCGTTTCAATGAATAAAATTGTAACAAAAGACTACGAGATCTCTTAGTATGTTAACTCACTTGATGTTCTGTCTGGTTTGTTACCCAGCTGCCTCTCCTGAAATCACTGAGTGTGTTTGAAGCTCAAGAGGTCTGTGGGACTGCTCCAGCCTTAAAAACTGAAATTTGAATTAAAGCCTAAAACAAAACTTTCAGAAAAAAAATCCTTAATGCTTAGAGCAATAGTCAGTGCCAGCAACCAGGTTGCTGGGAGTTTGGAGGGTTCTATGAGATCATCTAAAGTGGCCAGGGTCAAATGAGTAAGGACCTAGTGTATGATAAATCCTTAACCTTAAAAATTGTTTTGCATTTCTTTAGTCTTGGGCCTAATAAGAGTTTTCTGGGTTCTTTTATGGTACTTAAAGAGGCAGAGGATTAGCTGCTCTTTAAGAGAGTTTAATCTGGTGAGATGGTCCCAAATTTAAACATAACTGACTTGTACATATTCCTCATGAAGTGGAATTGTCATTTAATTATAAAAAAATAAAATTAAATTTTTTAACTCTTCTAGCTTCTTCAAAATAAACATGGATCTCCAAATCACTTGAATCATCATAGCTGAACTTACGCTAACTTTTGGAACCATTTCTGACAGCAGCCGCTAATTAAGTCTCTTCTGCTGCTCTCCCTTGCCCATGCAATAAACACGGAGAGGTGAAAGTAGACTTCCACTTGGTTGAGCTTGCTGCAAGGGACTTCCGAATGCTGAACAGAGCGACCGCTCAGTGTGATTATATAGCTTACATTTTACAGGCTTACATTCATAAAAGTAAAAAAATAGCACAAATCACTAGGAACAATGCCATTTAAAAAATAGCACTTCACTCTGAGGTAGGGGGATGTGTTGGTTTTTGTTACTAATGCTATAAATGGAAAAAAAACAAGGGGGGGGGCGAGGGGGTAAGGTGTCTGCTTGGTTTGTTTACTTTGTGTATTTGGCAACAGCATATGTGTAGTTGGTTTCACTGTGGTCTCCCATATAATCAGGTAGTCAGTCATATTCTCTTGCTTGATGGTGAGAGTCTTTCACACAACAACCAAGTAACATAGTAGTAAAAAAATGTGGCTGTAAAGCCAAAAAATTGGCAGGTGTAATACTTGAAACAATGTTCTTAAATGACTAGTCAAGTTGATTTTGTTCCTGTAAAGCGCAAAAATCTTGGCTCTTCACATAAAATATTGTACACTCCTTTTTTTGCTGGCATTTGTGGACCTACTGTAACAGCCATTAAAGGATGGCTTTATTTTGGTTTAATAGCAGTAATGATACTGGTGGTTTTCTCCCCCCAAAAATGTTCCAGCTCTGGTGCCCCACTGTGTTCTACTATTGCTATATCTTCTGTTCACAGCATACCTGCACACTAGTCCAATTATACTATTTCCCCCCCCCCCCCCCCCCAATCATACGATTGCTGGTCCTTAATTCCTTTGCTTACAGTTGCAAACTTAGGGGTGGTGGTGAGAGCTTTTGTTTAGCTATCAGAGTTCAATTATGTTAAAGGGTCATTACACCCCCCTTTGTTTTGAAACTAAACTTCTACAAGCCTAATGATTGATAAACCCATTAGTGAAAAATGTATTAAAAAGGCAAGGGATGACTGGTGATTTTTCTGAATATAGATCCGCTAGTCTCTCAGTTCTGTAGATTGGAAACTATTTAATATCTTGCTGTTCAATTGCTATGTGAAAGGGACACTGTAAACTGAATATCTAGGTTATTTCAAACTGGGAATAAAAGTACTTTCAGGTACTACTCCTGCCAATTTCTGTGGTCTTACAACCACATTTTCCTACTTTTAAAACATATTTTTTCTCTCCTGTTCCCAAAGGCATCAGACAAAACCACCCAAATATGGCATTAGACTATAGTGAAAGTGACTTTACACAAAGTGCTGACTAATGCATAAAGCAAACTGGAATAAAGTTCTCATATTTCAGATACTACAATCTTGGGTGCTACTTGTAAACATAGGGAAAAAATTCCAACAAGAAGTTGATGGCTTTAACTACAATGCAAATTGTTAAAGTGCAGTTTAATATTGCCTCTTCTTTTTCAGGACTTCTTCAGACATTTCAAGGAAATGGCAGCTGTTCTTGAAACAGTTTAAATACTTCAAAGACACACTTTACTTGATCCAAATAAGCCTTCCTATCTTGCACAAGTAATTGTGTCAATGTTTAAGGAAGGTATGTATTCTCATGGTCTTGTCAGAATATTTTCCAATAGCTTCCTTTTTTTTGGATCACACTGAAAGCTTTTTTTATGTAACTTTTCTTCTAAATATATGAAAGAACAAACTCTTGCAAGGTGGCAATCTGAGTAAAAGTGTATTTAGCTCTATTCAGGCAGAATATTGTGCTACGTAGCTAAGGACATGTCACAACCTCAGACTTTTCCTACTGTTCAACAGCGGAAGCTACGTACTGTATATAAACTCTGCAATGTGGAAACACCCATGAAAATGCTAACTGAGGAAACTACTGGAAGAAGTGTAAACCCCATGTTTACACTTTTCTCTATAAAATCATGCCATTGATGTGCACATGGAATCAATTATATCATTAGCTATGTAGAGTACATAAAATTACAGTCAGCAAACATATTGTTAGCCATGAAGAATAGTGTTGTCACCGAATTGATAAATTCCAGTTATATCAAGTAGGTTGGAAGCCTAATATTTACTCCCTTTTGTTAATTATTGGAGACATCTTCCATCATTCTATTTAATAAATGATTGTTACTTCAGTGTAAGATTAGTATCACTGAAATATTTCCATAAATCTGGATTTACCATCTCGTATTGCAGGAACTATCTCTAGTAACAGAGACCTAAAAACTTCCCTGCACAGAACTAATAACATTGACTAAGCAGAATTTATAGGGAAGTTTAAATTTTAAAAAAGTGCACGTGTGTTCAAAAAATACTTCTGAAGCGAATAGATACAGTTGATAGCACATTATTTTGTTGCTTATGTATGTTCTATAGTAAATCCAACTTTAAATTTGTGCCATTTAATTACTATTCTGATCAGCAGATTTTGTTTCCTAATTAAACTGGAAGCTTGATGCAGTTGCATCACTTGGTCTTTTGAACTGGAAATTTGAAGTCAAGAAATGGAAACTTAAGGTCAACCTGAGCTAAACACATCACTTACGACAATATTAAGAGTCTGACAGTCTCTTAGCTGCAGTACTTTCTCTGGTAGGAGTCCACAGGACTGCATTGCTGTCTGTCCAGAGACCAGTTGTCCTTGTCAGTCAGCAGTAAGATTCTGACTTAATGGCCATCTGTGATCAAGAATAAGGGTAACTTCAAATACGGAATAATCCAGGTTTCCATTTTTGAGTGTCTTCATATAAACAGAATAATTAATTTAAAATGGAAGATTACAACTAAATAGAATTAGACATACTGAAAACAAAATATTCTGACATAATAAGTATGCTGCTGGTGTTCAAATCAGATCATGCTTTGCTTGTGCAGTGGAGCAAATAAGTCCTGTATGAAAACAGAATGGATGAGGGCTATCAGACTCAGGCTTAGTCTTGATGATGAGACTAGATGAAAATAGGCTGAGGCAAGCAATGGGGAAAAAATTGGCAACAGTCATCTATGTGCTACTGACAGAGGGGCTGCATCCACCATTTGACCTAGTTTCACAATATTGAAGGTGGTTGTAACAAGAGCTGCTTTTAGAAGATCAAGTAGCAGTGCCTATATATATAGCTAGAAGAGTTCAAGCTCTTCTTTCTGATGCAGCTTTTGCTATCGTGATCCCTGCCTTTTGTCACCTCAGGACAATATGATTGAAATGCACTCTGTGTTGTGGGTGCACTCTGGAACCATTCAAACTCAAGGCTGTGCAGAGTGTGTCTGCTCCTTTGAGCATAATGCGGGGAGCACAGCACCAATACTCGGAGTTGCACCGGATTCCAGATGAACTGGAAGATGATGGGTTTAACCTTTAAAACTAAATAGTTTGGGACCTGGAACCTTACTTGAGGGACTGTCTGTGCAGTTCAAATCAGTAGGTGTGCACAAGTGGCACTTGATTGATCTGAAAATGAGAGGAGGCTGCTTGCAGAACATTCTCTGGGAGAGGGCATGGCCTCTAGAATGTACTCCCTTCCTCATTCTGCCAGAGCCTGGGTGTCTCAGCCTGGGCATACTACAAAGTCCACTTTTTATGGGAGATGGTACAGAGAGTCTCATCACATGGTCAGTCGAAGGATTTCTAGAAGAGCCTAAATTGGTGTTTGTAATTGGAACCTATTTTGTTTTTTTAGGTGACTGCATTTAAGAGTTTGGGGGACTGTTCTTAGACAGGTGACACTTGATACTTAAATTGCTGTTACAAACTCTAGTCAGACTTTGTATAGCTGATAATGTTTGTGCTGACATTGGAACGTGAGTGGAGAAAAGACACTTTGGTTATTGATGCCTTTTTGTCCAGAAACATTAAACTAGCATTAATAGCAGCTTCTTCAAGTGAAGATTGAGAGTTTTGGTTACCCGTTCTGTTTACCTCTCTTCACAATATGGCAGACCTGTGCAGTTGGAGCAATTTGCAGTAACCCTATTTCCAGGAGAGACAGGGAAGTGTTAGTACCATTATACAAGGCACTGGTGAGACATCATTGGGAATACCATGTGCAATTCTGGTCTCCCATGTTTAAGAAAGAGATGAGTTCAAATTGGAACAGATGCAGAGAAGGGCTACTAGGATGATCAGAGGAATGGAAAACCTGCCTTGAGAGGAGACTCAGAGATTGGCTTGTTTAGCTTAACCAAAAGAAGGCTGAGGGGAGATATGATTGCTCTCTATGTACATTGCAGGGATAAATACCAGGGAGAGAGAAGAGTTATTTAGCCAATGCTGACACAAGAACAAATGGATATAAACTGGCCAACAACTTTAGGCTCAAAATTAGGTGAAGGTTTCTAACCATCAGAGGAGTAGCCTCTGGAATAACCTTCCAAGAGGAGCAGTGGGAGCAAAAAACCTAACAGGCTTCAAGGCTGAGCTTGATAAGTTTATGGAGGGGATGGGATGATGAGATTGCCCACAATGGCATGTGGCCCATCGGCAACTGCCAGTAGCAAAAATCCCCAACAGCTGAATTTGGGACACTAGATGGGGAGGACTCTGAGTTATTACAGAGAATTCTTTCCCAGGTATCTGACTGGTGGGCCTTGCCTACAAATGCAGGGTCAACTGATCGCCATATTTGGGGTTGGAAAGGAATTTTTCCCTGGGTCAGATTGACACAGACCCTGTGGTTTTTTCACTCTCTGCAGCATGGGCCATGGGTCACTTGCAGGTTTAAACTAGTCTAAATAGTGAATTCTTTATAACTTGAAGTCTTTAAACCATGATTTAAGGACTTCAGTAACTCAGCCAGAGTTTAGAGGTTATATTTCAGGAGTGGGTGGATGAAGTTCTATGTCCTGCAATGTGCAGGTCAGACTAGATGATCATGATTGTTCCTTCTGACCTTAAAGTCTGAGTCTAAAACTGTCACATTATGGCAACCTGAGACCATAATGCCAGAAACATTAATGAATACTTTGTGAAATGTCCCTGCATGCCAGGGTATTGAAACTTGCTGGAAGAACCCCAGAAGCCTGTGTTTGGTATGACTGTTCTGATAAATCTCAATGAACACCTTTTTGATTTATATTGTTTTAAATAGATGGTGACTGAAAGTTGGCTATTGAGGCAAATTCCAGATGTTTTATTCAGTCATCTGTAAAAATTACAGCATTAAACAATGGAGCAATTAAATACTCAATTAAAATTGTTTTAGAAATTGAATTATGTGGAATAGTGATACTGGCAAGTTAGACAAAAGCAACTTTTTACTATTTTGTCTGTGGAACCAGATTTGTACCAGAATAAGGAATCCCATCTTGTCTTTAATATTACTTTCCATTTTAATACAGATTTCTATACCATGCATATTTTTGTATGTTTACAAACTAAAAGTTATTAAATATTTGGATAACAAATTTAAAAGTGGTCTATATTTGTTCATGACAGTGGTTATTTAAATTTGTTGCATGAAAGTCTATCTTGATTCCCTTGACACAAACACTTAATTTTTTTTAATAGAACAAAAGACAGGTAGTCTTCTAACTAAACTTCTTTCCATACTGAATTAGGTAAAACTTGCCAAATTCTTCCATCTGTTTATCTTGCTGATCTCACACTGAAATGATTAGGGGATTGGAGGAATTCAAAGCTAAATTACAAAGACTACAAGGATTATTTACACCACTGAGAAATAAATATGTTGGAAATGCACTATATGAGCTTGGAAAATGATATAGGCACAGACACCGTGGGTGCTTCGGAGCTGGAGCACCCATGGGGGGGAAAAAAAATAGTGGGTGCGCTGCACCTACCAGCAGCACCCCCAATCAGCTTCTCTTCTCTCCCCCCAGCCCCCATCCCTGTGCTTCCCACCTGCCGGCAGGCCCCAACAACCAGTGCCTCCCCCTCCCTCTAGGCGCCTCCTGCCCACCATGATCAGTTGTTCAGGGGTGTACAGGAGATGCTTGAAGGGAGGAGTAGGAGTGGGGGACAAAAAGGTGGGGGCTTGGGGGAAGCATGGGGTGGGGCCTGAGGCAGAGCAGGGGTCGAGCACCTCTTTCCCCCCCTCTCCCCCCCCCCGGCAACTAAGAAAGACAGCACCGCTGGAAAAGGGAGAGGCATAGGAGACCTAAATTAACAGGGTCTGCATTTAAAGATTTATTATTATTTTTTAATTGGACTTGAATAAAAGACCACATTATCATTGCTCAACTCTTGTCTGACTTTAATGTTTTGTATGGGAGGACAGGGAATATCAGTCTTATGCAAGAAACAGGAAGTCAAAGAGTATTGAAAGAAATGTGGTTGGGTGGAGGAAGAGAAACGTTGCTGGTGTAAAGAAAGTAAACAATGTTCCTCTTTTATTGGACAGTGAGGATATTTTTCCAAATAACATCTGCATTAAGGCCTAGATTACCCTTCTGCCCACTTGCTCCTGTGCATGTCCCAGTTTCATCCAGTCCTGGCCAAAGCAAAAATATGGCTCCATTTGGTCTTAGTCAAGGTCCCCAAAATTGCATTGCCTTTCTTTCTAAATTGCATTGTGAACAGGTAGTTATGTTTGAAATCGCTCCTGGCTTTTTTTAGCTTCCCTCTTTCCAGGTTTCTCCTGCTGCTTGAATGACTTCTGGATTATTTTTCTTCAGAAGTACTAGCTTGTATTTTATCCTCCAAGTCTGATAAACTTTTCTGCTCATATTTTCTAACCGTTCTAGTTCTCTTTAATTTCTCCTTCCTGATACTAATATGAAGGACAGTTTTTAATCTTTTGCATAGGAGTGCAGAGTTCTTCTAGTTAGCCACTGTAACTTCAGCTAGTAGGGCCCAGATCCATAAAGGTACTTTGCTGATGAGAAAAGGAATTTAAACTGGGATCTGTGGTGCTTTAATTACTGGATTGTGGGATATTCTGATGTGGGTCCCTCTGTCTTTCCTATTGAAGTTGTTCTATTTCAATTAAATCATTTAATAATTAAATAGTCACTAGGCTATAGAGAGTGAGAATCACTCTACAGTCTAGTAGTTAAAGCACTCACCTGAGCGGTGGCAATTCCTGTTCAAATCCCTTCTCCTCAGGCAGAGGGGGGGACTTGAACTGCCTGTTATTACCTTTTATTTACAGTCCTTCAGCCGTCTTCAATCCATGTGGTAATTGCATCCTAATCAATTTGATTTAATTTTGAGTCAAATGTCATGAGATCTACCACATACTCTACTAAAAGCAAAATAAGTGAAATCTGTGTTGCTACCACACATTCTCTTAAATAAAAAAGCAATCATGTCTGGGAAGACTTGTTCTTAAGGAAGTTAATCTACTTAGTATTTTTGACTCTAATCGACTAGAAATTCAGATTTTTATCATGTTTTAAGTATGTTTCAGGTTACTTTGAGGGATTGAGGTAAAACTTTGTGAAGGGTAACTTCTAGGATCACTTTCTCTCCTTAGCAGATTGACACCACTTCCTCTTCAGTCTTTTGAAAAATCCTTTGTTCTCCAGGACTTTTTAAAAAATAATCTATGGTTCAGTTAGGCTATTGGCTAATGAGCATAATCCTGGATGTGTGTTCTTTGGACACACTGGTTTATATTCCCTTACCTGTTCCTTATAAAAATTTTACGTTTAGGAAGTTCTTACTTCCTAATTGTCAATCTTCCCTTATTTTTCTTATTAAAGACACTTTAAAAGAAACTACCTCTGAATTTCAGAATAACTAGTTCCATTTCTCCCCCTTTTTTTAATGAGTCTTCTTACTGTCCAATTCTACATTCCCTCCTTAAATTACAGTAGGTAAGATTTTAAAAAATGGGTGTCTAAACTC